CATTCGTGTCGGACCCCCTCATCCTCCCTACACCCTGCTTGCAATCCACGAAGCCATTCGTGTCGGACCCCCTCATCCTCCCTACACCCTGCTTGCAATCCACGAAGCCATTCGTGTCGGACCCCCTCATCCTCCCTACACCCTGCTTGCAATCCGCGAAGCCACCTACGTCAGAAAGGGAGAGAGAGAGAGGCCTGCTCTCAGCGCGGCAGGCAAGTCTCAAATCCTGCTCGCAGCACAGCAAGCCGCTCGTGCCCAATGACTTGCTTTGATTCCCATGACTTGCTTTGCTTCCCATGACTTGCTTTGCTTCCCATGACTTGCTTTGTGCCCCATGACTTGCTTTGTGCCCCATGACTTGTTTTGTGCCCCATAACTTGCTGGCAGCCCGCAAGCTGCTCGTGTCGAATGACTCGCTTTGCCTCCCATGACTCGCTTTGCCTCCCATGACTTGCTTTGCATCATATGACTTGTGCAGTGTGAACTCTGAACCGTGGAGGAAGGGAGAGGCTATGCTTGTTTTGGTGCAAGACGTAGAGAGCCGAAGCTATTTTTAACTTCCCGCCCTTGATCAGCTGAGCGAGTGGGTGTAGTGAGAAGAAGCGTGGTATTGTAGTAACAACGTTGCTAGGTCTCTGGAAGTAATAAGTAGACTTAGATAATCTTAGAATGGAAAACTCCGTGGATCGTATTTATGTAGCCTATTTTGTGGATGTGTTACACTCACAATGACACAATATAGAACATAATTTAGGAGATGGGCTAGGCCTATTTCAACCCACTGTCAGGACCAACCTGGGCCGAGAGGGAACAACGCCCCAGCAGAAAGACAGGAGGATTTCACTAAAAATTTCTCCCCAAACGGGAAGACAAAGCGCTTGATCCCTGCACATAAAAAACGGCCTTAGTATGATAAGAATAGCCAATCCATTTCTAATTTTTAAGTGCATTGAATACAGCTTTTTTTTTCAACCCGACTTTGAAAAAGACCCCAACCTTGCACTTTTGGTGCAGCCTCTCACGGCAAATAACCAGAAACTTCTATAATAGCTTATGTGCTGAGCCCACAGCCACGAGAGTTTGCGACGTCACGACACAGTACAGCAAGACTGTCCGCGAGTCACAACTCACCGGAAGTTCCTCCCGGTACGGTAGCGAGCGGCAGACAAAGCAAAGCACAGGCCTGCTCGTAAGCCTCTGGCGTAAGCCCTCTGCTTCTCGCAAGCCTTCGATTAATCGAGCAGACTCCAGGTCTTTTTCCTACTCTCAAGCAATGTCTGCTTTCGTTTCCACTTGCTGCTCCCCTCCCTCTCACCTTCTTTGCCCCCTCCTTTGAGCTCCTGACTCTTTCTGTAACCTTTCTACTGCTACTACTTGGCTCCTTCTTACTGCTGTCTTTCAGCCACACCCTGATCTTCTTTTATGGAAAATCTACACCTAGCCTTCTCGGACAACGGCGAAGAATCTCGAAGGTCCTGTGTAAACGTTGTGCACGTTAAAGAGCCCTTGGTGGTCTAAAATCGAATCGATAAGAGTAGGTTTCGGCTGCCACCCGTGAAATATTCAAAATTACCCACCATCTGAAAATGTTTAATGTGTCCGCGCGCTCATATGACCGTATGCAGTTACGAGCGCCGTAAATCTCTTACCAAAAAAAAAAGGAATAATAATAATTATTACTATTATTATCATTAGTTAGTTTTTTTAGTGGGTGGGGTTATGAGATGGCGAAGCACCTCACCGATACACCACAGAAGCCAATCAAATGAGTCAAATGTTGCTTCAGTAAAAATTATAACGCTAATGAACAGCCACGAACACTTAACACAGAAACCTGAGATTAACAATATAATTTCATGAGAAGAGGACCATGAATCATGAACGTATTTACTCACATTAAACGCGCTTTTAACAATAATAGCAATAACATAATGATGCTCGCTTTCATATGGCGCATTCAGTGGCATTCTGTTTGCGCTTTACAACTAGTATTATCCCTGCAGACCCAAGAATGCTCAGAAACATTCTCGGCTTCCCGGGAAGCATACAGTGCAAGCTGTAGATTGCAGGCCCTCAAACACAAACACACTCACAAGTCTTTCGCAGTCTATTACCGAGTACCCATCCCCAACAGGGTGAGGTGAGGAAACTTTGTGTAAAATGCCTCAAGAAAGGACAAAACGTCGGGCCTCTGGCGGGATTCGAACCCACGACTCTACGTTCCCAAGTTCGTGAGCCTAATGACTACTAAACCACCGACGCCACAATATGGAGGTTATGGTGGTCGCCTCTCATTCAATAAGTCGTAGGTTCGAATCCAGACAGCGACTGACATTTCTCTCCTCTTAAATTTTCTCCTTTCACCTTCTTTCCTGCTCTCTAGCACTGTTCTGTCGTTTGCTTTGGTCTCCATTTCCTGAGCTTCTGGCTCTTTCTGCAGCCTTTCTACCGTTACTTTTTAACTCCTTCTTACAGCTGTCTTTCAACCACACCCCAGATCTTATGGTAGGTGACATCTAACACCTAGCCTTCTCTGATTAAGGCGAAAAATCTTGGAGGTCTTATGTGCAAGTTGCACACGTAAAGATCCCTAATTGACGGTCGAAATAGATGAGAGTAGGCTTCGGCAGCCACCAGGGAATAATTCAAAAATTCCTTCCAACTGAAAATGTTAAATATTTCCCCTGTGCTCATATAACCTTGTGCAGGTGCGAGCGCCGTAAAACACATACCCCAAAAAGCCCCCCCCCCCAAAAAAAAAAAAAAAAAAAAGAAAAAAAAAAAAGAAAAAGATGGAATTTCCTAATTTCTGTAGTATTTCTCTCTGTGCAGGCCCACAAACCTCGGGAAGTGATCTGGATATCGCTGTGATAGCAGGGGCCGCCGGTGGAGGCGTGGTGATACTACTGATCGTGGTGTCCACCATCTGTGTCTGCCGCTACCGCCGGAAGTACAAGGAAGCTGTAGCCTCCAAACCTGACGGGGACTACGACCCAATGAGATCCTCCAGACACGACTGGGATAATCCCTATCTGGAGCCGGAAATTTATGGTGAGTATATATATATTAGATTATCATAGCTTTTTCTGATGTAATTGGTTTGGGTTGGGTTTTTGGGGTTTTTTGTTTTGGTTGTTGGGGCAATTGGGTGTTTTTTTTATATATGTTTGATTGTTTGCTTGTCTTAAAAATCTAGACTAGTTTATTTTTGTCATTTTTTCGAAGCGTTTTTTAATTTCGTTTTTCTGTACTGTTTGGTTTCAAGTACATGTTGCTTTTTTGTTTGCCTATTCTTCTGCGTTAATCACAGGGAGTGTGGGGTTGGGGAAATGGGGGTGGGGGGGGGGGGGGGGAGGATTGAGGTAGATCAAAGTTTTTTTCCCTTAATTTCTGTACAAAAGTGTTCTTTAGATTTGAAAAAAAAAGTTGAATTGAAAGGCTTTATGGTTTTCATTGTTTTGTTTGCTATTTTTTTGTTTGAACCGCAATCTTCCTGAACATTTTGCTAGAATAGCAGTTGCCTGCAAAATTACTTCCACTTTTGGGGGCTCTCGTGGTCTAGAGGTTAAAGTGTTTGCCTCTCATTCAATAGATCCCGGGTTCGAATCCTCTACCAGCGGAAGATTTTTTTTTTCTAAAATGTTCTCCTTCACACCCTTTTCTGCTCTCTAACAATGCTCTGTCGTCTGCTTTTGTCTCCACATTCTGCCGCCGCCCCTCACCTCCTTGGCCCCCTCATCTAGGCTCCTGACTTTTTCGGCAATCTTTCTACTGATACTCCTTGGCTCTTTCAATCAGACTCCTGCTTTTATGGTAGGAAAGATCTACACATAACCCTCTCGGATAAGGGCAACAAATCTCGAAGGTCCTGTGTGCATGTTGCTTGGTGGCCCAAAATCAATAAGAATAGGCTTGGGCCGCCACCATGGAAAATTCAAAATTTCCTTACAACTGAAAATGTTTGGTGTGTCCCGCCGCGCTCATATGACCCTATGCAGTTGCAAGCACCGTAAAACACTTACAAAAAAAACCCAACAAAAAACAAGCAACACACACACGCACTTACATAAGAGCACACACACACACAAACACACACACACACACACACACACACACACACACACACACATACACACACACATACACACACACACACACACATATACACACACACGCACACACACACACACACACACACATATACACACACACGCACACACGCTTTTGCCTATGTGTCTATGTGTTCTTAAAGATTTTAAGGGGTGGGCATGTGGCTGAGCACAATGCATTGGTCACAGAACTCATTCTACAGCAAAACCTCAGATCAACTTAACTTTTCACGTTCATTAGTAAACATCGATTTTTTCTCAGTGTAATGCCAAAACTCTGTCGAAGATGCTGTATTAATAATCGTGCTGGATGTGCACTATCCGCACGTTTACTGGGTATAGCCTATATAATTTTCTATATAACAAACCCTGTTCTAATATTATTTCTATTTTTCTAAACTTTCTTTTCTTTAAGACACGATTAAAGATGATGGATACGAAGTGCCTCCAGACCCGGAAGACCCGAGTTCCAATACCTTTACCAGTGACTACATTGATGTAATTGGTAAGTGGGACAGAACAGGAGAACACGCGGGGTTGTATCTTATTATAAGTAATATAAGACGATATCCAGTTTGTGTACTGGCAATTTGGATTTAAGGTTTCTTTTGAAACGCAACAGATTATTGGCTCCTCAACTGTACGTTTGCTAAGAGAGTCACGCTGTCTATTTTGCTTTCTTAATGCGTTCATTACCCCCACCGTTACACCCCCCTCCCCACGTATTCCCCCACACATGTGCGCAGAAACGTTCATCCATCGTACTCGCATAGTTAAGAGGAAGGAAACCTTGCATCTTGCCCCAATCTTGTTCTGGCATAATATGTCATTAGTTATGATATAACTTTGTATTATAGAGTTTTACAAATACATAATTATATATTTTCACATATATTTTTTTCACAATCATGCCTGAACCTGTGTTCAGGAAATGATCGGACAGAGTAGTTTTTGTAATAAGGTCATTATTAATAACCAACACATCTGTATATGGCGTTTGGTATCACATCTTGCATGAAATGTGGTTTTTGTTAAGAATTTAGAGCCCAGATAGCAATGATTGTGTTATTGTTGTTTTTTGTTATTGTTGTTGTTGCTGCAGCTGCTGCTGTTGCTGCTGTTGCTGCTGTTGCTGCTGTTGCTGCTGTTGCTGCTGTTGCTGCTGTTGCTGCTGTTGCTGCTGCTGTTGCTGTTGCTGCTGTTGCTGCTGTTGCTGCTGTTGCTGCTGTTGTTTTCTTGTTGTTGTTGTTGTTGTTGCTGTTGTTGTTTTGTTTTTTTGTTTTTCTTCTTCTTCTTCTTCTTCTTCTTCTTCTTCTTCTTCTTCTTCTTCTTCTTCTTCTTCTTCTTCTTCTTCTTCTTCTTCTTCTTCTTCTTCTTCTTCTTCTTTTCTTCCTCCTCTTCCTCCTCGTTCTCCTCCTCGTTCTCCTCCTCCTCCTCCTCCTCCTCCTTCTCCTCCTCCTCCTCCTCCTCCTCCTCCTCCTCCTCCTCCTCCTCCTCCTCCTCCTCCTCCTCTTCTTCTTCTTCTTCTTCTCCTCCTCCGGTAGCTGGAATTGGAGGGGGCCATTGGAGAGTTAATGCAGTATTGCCTTTCTGTATGATTAGACAGGTGGATGGACATCATGTAGAAGGTTGGGTAGAGAGAGAATTAAGTAATGGACTGGCAGACGGACCAACGAACAGACGAGTGGGTGGAAAGATTCAAGGGTGGACAGAGGATTTTTTGGGAAACAGACCTGCCGACTGATGAACTAAATAGTATATATGAAACCTGCAGGCACAATCACAAGATCATAATAATTATTTTCTATTCCCCAGAACCACCCCTGCCACCTCCCCCTCCGCCTCATAGATCATTCAAAGAAAAGGAAAACGATTACCTTTTCCCTATCTAAATCCCAGCCTCAGTCTCATGCAGAGGTTGGACAAGGTTGATTTTACTCATCTCTGTTCTGAAAATCTACAGGACAGGAAACATATCAGGCACAGAGTATTTGTGTGGTTGGAGGAGGGGAGAGTTATTTGTTGGTAAATTGATTTTATAAGCATTTTTCGTGGCCCTTTTTGGGGGGGGGGGGGTTAACATCACTAATTCCAATAGTCCAGGTCAATTCTAAAGAGGACCCTAGGTCCTCGACAGAATAAAGGATAAAATATAAGCTCAGAAAGGGGGAAAACAATTAAAACCTCTTTTGGGTTTGAATTGACGGTATACATTTTTCTCATTTCCAATCAACTGAGAGACCTAAGTTAGCTATTTCATTTTGCTATCACTGGTTCTGTGTCTGTGACCTCAATATTTATAGAAAGTATAATATGTTTGACGTAAAACTAAATAAAACAAAATTAAAAAGCACAACAACAACAACTGCACCATAAAAAGAAGAACTTTTAATTGTTTTAAAAGTTTATCACGCAAAAAATGACCTCCTGGCCTTTAATTGTCGCCCATATGACGTCAATGGGTGCAGGAATTTGCAAACTGTCGATGAGCTCAGCTCTTTAGATCATATTTTCGTCCATTTGGAGGATGTTGAAGAGTCATTCCTAGCGAATCAATGCTCAACCTCTAAGGTATTTCTCATTTTGATACTTGCTGCATGTACATTCTCTTTTCATTCTCGTTTAGTTCGTTGTTTTTCCAAATGTCTTGAATGTGCTTCTTGAACATGCTCATATATACACAGCTTTTTGGCCTTTAAAAATTCGTGGTGTCCTTAGCGGGTTCTATTTCCATAGCTGTCAGAAAAATGGATTCAAAGATCCACACTCTTACAGCTAAAAGTGTTTATACCCATTTTGTTAAGTTTCACACTGAAAAAATACAGGTTAGACTGTCTTGATCCTTTGATTTAATTGCAGGACATCTGCTGTGTCAACAATGTGCAGTGTATAATTCAATGGAGTAAGAACCTTGTCATTTTAAGGGCACGAATATCTATTTATCATTCCCTTTTCTCCAGTGTTGACCCAATTGCGAGTAAATCAAAATGTTTTTTTGTGTGTGATTGTAAATATTATGTTACGCCACAATTGACACATGTCATTTAGACAAGTTTGTGCCTGTCAGGGTCAGCTCTGAATGATTGGAATACAGTATCACAGCAGACAGACGGAGATACATAGACATGATAAAACTCCATTTGCGAGAATCAAACTAAGGTCTTCTGTGTGTGACAGGGTAAAGCCTACACGTCACCCCAACAGGTGCTGGCGTGTAAACTGTTTTAAAGTAAGCCGACACTGTAAGACATAAATGATTTATTTCACAAAGAACACTATAAATTTTACTACCACCTGGGATTCCCCCTTTGTCTTCTTCAAAAGTGTATCCATTGTTTGTACATTGCTAATAAGCGGACAAATTATTATCCTTAAAACTGATGTAGTGTAGCTGAACCAATGAACGGTCAACTGCCCTGGGAAAATCGTGATGTACATTTTCATTGGGATCTGTAAGATTGTATGACGAACTGAAAACAACTTTGACTGATATTTTGTATCACGGCCAACGTACTTATTCTCCGACTCGCTCAGCATCATAGGTGAAGTTTTACATCTTATTAAAAGCTGGTCTTTTAAGATTTATTCGAATGTACCGTTTAACATAAACAAACAAACAAACAAACACACACACATACACGCATACATACACACACATTAATACACATAAACATATTCACAAACACCCACGCATTGTATATATATATATATATATATATATATATATATATATATATATATATATATATATATATATATATATATATATATATATAATATATTATGTGTCACGACACGGTTGAATCCGGCGCTCGTCAATCTTTTGGGCATATGGCAGTTATTAATATCATCATTTGAGTTGCTTTCGGAGAAAAAAATATTCATCTTAATTGAACAGAAGTCAAGAAGTTTGTCATAGAAGGAGAAAAGGGTCGGCGAGTGTCAGGGGTTGTAAAATTAACGAAAAATATGGCCTCCAAAGTTTTGTGACTTCCAAAGCTTGAGAGTCCTCGGAAACTATACAAAATTACATTTGTTATACCTTTGATCGACATTTTTAAAAGTAAAATCCACACATCACATCAATGTGGTTTTAATTGAAATATAAGGTTTTGAGCCCAAAAAAAAATTTAAAAAAATATATATACCGATTTCTTTGATTTCATTTTTTTTTCAAGTGGACTTGATTTCATCCCGATGCCACACACACACACACACACACACACACACACACACACACACACACACACACATACACACACACACACAAACACACTCACGCACACACACACATACACACACACACACACAAACACACTCACGCGCACACACACACACACACACACACACACACACACACAAATGTAATACATGAATATGTCATAATTATATTGCATAATGCATATATGTGTCACAACGCAGTGGAATCAGGCGCTCATCAATTTTTGGGCATGTTGAGTTATTGATATAATCTTAAACCCTGTTCATTTTCCTTGCTTTTGAAGAAAAGAAAATCATTAATCTTGAATTTCAAGTTGAGATATTTGAGACTAAAGGAGATGGAAATCGCCTGGTTTCAGAGGTAAATTAGCGAGAAAATGGCCGCCAAAGCTGGGTTATTTTCATGGCTTGATAATCTGTGGAATCTTAAAATGTACTTTTTTGTGCCTTTAATCTATGTTTTTCCGTAAAACCCATACATGAATGCGTTCTTAAATGGAAATAAAATGATGAAGCAAAAAATAAAATTTCAATAAACATTGCCAAACCGGAGGAAAAATGCCAATTTCTTCAACTTCATTATTTTGACAAGCGCCTGACTTCACCACGCTGCCTCGTATATATATATATATATATATATATATATATATATATATATATATACAAAATAAAATATATTTAAAAATGAACCCTAAAAAAATAAATAATTATATAATATAATATATATATATAATGTATATTATATATAATATATACAGGGCTAGAACACAGATGAACACAGCATTGGAAAAGCAATGTGAAAACTGTGTACTTTTTGTCGCTATTCCATTGTTTTATTTTTCTTTTCTTTTGCTTGGTATGTACAGCGTAGTATAAAACATTAATTGCAACTTCTGTTGTTATATTTATGTTTCAAAGTCTTGAACATCGTTGTTCGACGAAGGATAGCATCTTAACCGTTACATTGTCACATTTACTCTCCCACCATTCGTAGGAACTCCCCACCCCCTTCTCTCTCTCTCTCTCTCTCTCTCTCTCTCTCTCTCTCTCTCTCTCTCTCTCTCTCTCTCTCTCTCTCTCTCTCTCTCTCTCTCTCTTTCTTTCTCTCTCTCTGCGTGTTCCGGTGTGTGTGTGTGTGTGTGTGTGTGTGTGTGTGCGTGTGTATGTGTGTGCGTGTGTGTGCGTGTGTGTGTGTGTGAGAGTGTGTGTGTGTGTATGTATACGTGTGTGCGTGTGTGAGTGTGTGTAAGTGCGTGTGTGTGTGGGGGGGGGGATGTATACAACGCTTATTTATATGTTTACATCTGTTTCGATCTCGGTGAATGCACCTGTTTATACCTTAAACCCAACCCTAGCAGAGTTCTGTCTACTTGTTGCAATATTTAGTTTCATCAAAAAAAAAAAAAAAAGGTTTTCATGTTCCGAGTTGCTCCTTTTCCAAACTGTACCATAGAAAGATTCATTACTTCTTCTATCGATGTCGTTCTTTGTAAAGGCCGAACACGTATGGCTACTTTTGTGGTTCCCAAATGTTGTCTTTCTAAAATGCCAATGATTTCTTTCACATAGACAAGTTCGTGTTTCTGTAAGGTGTGCCCTATTGATTCTGTGTGCATGCGTGAGTGTAAGTACGTAGGGGTGTTCGTTTAGGTTTTGCTTCTGTTTGTTTAATTTTTGATTTTTTTGGTATAGCTTTCATGTTTCTTTGATTCCTGGTGGTGGTTATGGGAAGGAGGAATCTGAAGCTTGTAGTGGACGCATGATGTAAAAATAGAAATGATAATGCTCTTGTTCCTTGTACTGAGAATACATTTTCCTAATGCAGAATAGGTCATAGGGTGGTTGGCTCATTCTTTCCAATCAAACATTTATCGTCCTTATCTCTCCTCCTTTTTATGTCTGCTACTTATTTATAACACTTATATTTCTTTGCACTTACATATATGACCGTATTTTGGTGAAAGTGCTGTAAAACACACACTAACAAACTGACAACTAAATGAGTTAGTCACTTTACCGTGGAAATCGTTCTCAAATCAAGCACAGTCAACAGCTAACTTCTTATGATGTTACGACTTCGAATCTGGAATTTTACCTCCGCGAAAACCACAGCAAGGCAAGTGAAATATCGATGTGAAAATTTTGGGAATAATCGTATTCCCTCTCTTGTTGTGACACACGATTAAAACAATGATAGTACATAACAAGATGGGCCACTTCTCTCTTTGAGCCAATTAAAAAAGTGTCCTCAAAATTTGGTGGCGCCCTCTTCACAAAAGCGCACTCTTTGCGAACAGAGTTACCCTACTTGAGTTTTAAAAAATCAAAGTGAAACTAGCAAGTTTTGGGATAAATTTCGGAAGAACGCTTTTTTAAAATGGTTACGCTGACAAAAAACCTCTTCCGGAGGAAAGGGTGATGGTTTTCTTCGTTTAATTTGACTTTAGAATGAAAGGCGAGAGGTCATTAAAAATTTTAAAAAGCTAAAACTCCGCACTGAACGTACCCGAACTGCTGATGAACAGCAGTCGATCTGCGCACGCAAGGAGGTGCTATTCCTATTCTTCTTCTGGAAAAACGAAAGAGAGCTTCAAAACAGACTGCAGCGCCATCTGAAGCAAAGAGCATACTTCCTGCGGACACTTTTTTGGCTGAGTGGCCCATCTTGTTATTCACTATCTTTGATTAAAAGTAACATATGGGAGAAAACCTTCACGTTCCAAGATCCAGCTTCTGCAAAATGTTATATTATTTTGAAATGAGAATACCAACTGTATATGATCACCTTTTCTTTCGTTTATTAAAGTGGTTTCAATATCAAATTTTACACACAAATAAACATCTGAATAGAAACTCCAACCAGGTATTTCAACTACATTTGTATACTACTCTCGGTTTAAGTGTCCTATGTTGCAGTATATTTATGCTCTGTTTATAAGGCTTAGGGACATGATGTATTAAACATAACTAGATTAATCCTTTAGTGTAAGAATTTTTCAGTGTTTTATTGTGTGACTGTTTCTGTAGCTAAGTATCTTGGCTTGGGAACATACTTGTGGGGGTGTTGTCAGCAGAAGACGACAGTTGGAGGATGGGCCTCGGGTGAGTGAATGGGATGGGGGGGGGGTGGAGAGGTGGGGTGGGGGGAGTGGTGGGAGGGAGGGAGGGGCGCTGGGGTGATTGAACGAAGGAGGGGGGAATGAGGTGATTAAAAAATATATATTTTTGATGGGGGGGGGGAGGGGGGAGTAGTTAACGTTTGGATTGAATTCCAGTGAGCACGGAAGCTCTAAAATGAGACACCGGCAAACAAACACATTATTATTATTATTATTATTATTATTATTATTATTATTATTATTATTATTATTATTATTATTATCATTATCATTATTATTATTATTATTATTATTATTATTATTATTATTATTATTATTATTTATTATTATTGTAATTATTATTATTATTATTTTTATTATTACTACTATTATTATTATTATCCTTATTATTATTATTATTTATTATTATTGTAATTGTAATTATTATTTTTATTATTATTATTATTATTATTATTATTATTATTATTATTATTATTATTATTATTATTATTATTATTATTATTATTATTATACATCAGTAGTTTCTCCTTTCTTGGCGTCTATCTGCGTCCGATCGTCTGCTGGATCGTCTGCCCACAGGCACGGATAGCGAGGGTGTCTTTGATGGACGGGAGTGCGTCATATCCGGTTGTCTTAAACAGGTAATGATCGGATGGTGTAGAGGCAATTCCTTGCAACTCCAGGTCGTCTACATAAGAGCCCACTCCTGGTAATGGGAATAATTGATTGTATTCAAAGTAAATGAAGAGGTTAAGAGGAAAATAGGCTAGGTCTCATACATCCTATAAACTATCCAGCCTATTCTTCACTTTTTAAAAAGTAAAATGGACTTCACTTGGCTTGCTTTACAAAAAATACAATTTGTTAATATACTCAGTTGTTTAAACTATTTTTGTCACTTGGTTGATTTCATACGGATAGTCTATGGGTACTATTGTCCATTAAGGGTTCGAATCTTGACATTTTCTTAAAATCCAGTTACCCTGGTTCTCACTTCACTCTTTAAAATATTTTACGCCCCCCTCCCCCTTCTCGAATCAATTACATATTTGAAATAATTTAGGGGGCTGATTACTTCCACCCTGGTCTTTCTCAAAGAACGATGTGCATAAGTACATTACTACTTTGGTTATTGTTTTTGGTGCTTGCCATATAAAGGCCAAACTCTACGCAAAATGATTTCTGTTTATTGAATGCACAATTGCCAGACCAACTCCCCGACCTCATACCTTTCAATCCTTTTAATGCCAAAAGCGTTAGATAAATGTACACTGCTTTGTCTGGCAGGCCAGTGCATACTTTTCCACCTCAACCCTTAACAAGCTTCAGCATAGCTGTCTAGAGGTTATATCATGCCAAACGCTGAGGACCGGCGTCTGTATTGTAGCGGTTTTGCGCTTCGCCGTCGCGCGCAGGAGACCCGAGTTTGATTCCCTAATGGGTAGTTTACATTGAAAATCTGGGTCTTTCTGTTGGCATGTTGTATCCCTCTAAGCCCAGGCTGGCAGGATCATAATCTCGCCTATTAAACGGTTTACATTATGCCGATGGCGGTGTAAAAAATCTACTTGAAAAAAAAGTTGAGGTCTGGTGAGTATTGAATCTAGGTCACCGTTCATAGAAATCATTGCTTACAAGATGGAATAGAAAAACTGGCTAGTTACAGTCATCACGATGCCCTCAACCGTGACTACAAGAGAACGTGGACTTGATTAAGTCGCTGCTCCAGTAATTGTTCGGACTCGCAGACAATCAGTAACTTTTGTCAAACATGCGTTTCTGTAGTCAAAGGAGGGGAGCTCGTTCCATGATTACATGGAATGAAAAGAAAATCTGTAGGTCCAACACCCCTGTCAACACTATTAGGTTATTTACGAGGCAGGACCTCTGAATTCAACGTTCTTCTCCGATATGAATAAGCCAAATGCCTTGAAAACTCCACAATACGACATTAGTTCAAGAGTGCCCAGTATTGGATTCGAACCCGAGACATCCGCTCCGTAGTCCAGCATGATACCGATTGAACTAACGGAGTACCATCCGTTTTAGTTGCGAGTGCAGTTCGCAGCATTGTGAGCGTAAAAGCCAGACATCAGTTTACCTCATGGGTATACCTTAGCCTTAAGACCAACTGTAGCCAAAGTAGAGTCCAACCACGACTAGGCTAACGGACACAACACACACGTTTGATTCTGGTTAAGACGCTGGGTTGCGCCAGAATAGCGTCCGTTCATGGAAATCGGGCAAGAACAGATCAAGAACCGTTCATCAGATCGAGACGAATGGAGAGAGAATGGTAAAGGTGTAAATTCACAAGGATGCATACATACAAACACTCACCTATCGCAAACACCAAGGCCCCTGAGTCTTTGAGCGCTTCGGCCTGAACCTGAGTGTCGATGTAGTTCTCAGAACGGCCGTCAGTGATGACAATGACAACATGGCGCACATCAGACCTGGAAGGCAGAGGATTGGGCGGGAGAAATAAAAGGTGGCAATAATATATACATTAAAACAGCAATACTTAACATGATTTCGTCTATGATTTTGTCGGCCAGGGTATTATTTTCTTTTCATTTTTTTGTGATTTACAGAGCATTAATTCTTTTGCAGAATGGCCTATATATTTCGTCTCCACCCCCCCCCCTCTCTTTTTCTCTCACACACTCACAAACAAATAAACAAATTATGTAAACACACACGTAGAACAAACACACAAACACCCACACCTACACACTCACACATTCATAATCACACGAACGCAAGCTAGCTTATATACAGTTTGGCCTACAGGTACTTCCTTTCACAATCATACAAACGCTCGTGGAAGTGTGAAAAGACCAGATACTAACAAACTAGCAATTGTGCCTTCCAGTCGTACTTGCTAATTCCTGATCATCTTTTTTTTTCTTTTTTTTCTGGTAAGTGTTTTACGGCGTTCGCAACTGCATAAGGTCATATGAGCGCGCAGGACACACTAAACAATTGGTAGGAAATTTGCCAAAGCCTACTCTTATGGATTTTGGACTCAAAGGGATCTTTAACGTGCTCAACTTGCACACGGGACATCCGAGATTTTTTGCCCTGGCCCAAGAAGGCTAGGTGTAGATCAGAAGATCAGGCTGAAAGACAGCAGTAAGAAGGAGCAAAGTAGTAGCAGTAGAAAGGCTAAAGAAAAAGTCAGGAGCCCAGTGGAGGGGGCAAAGGAGGTGAGGGTGTGGAGACGAAAGCAGACCACAGAATATTGCAAGAGAGAAAGAAAGAGGGTGAAATGAGACAATTGAAGAGAAGAAAATTTTTCTGTCGCTACCCAGATTCGAATCCGGGACCTTTGAATGAGAGGATAACACCTTAACCTCTAGGCCACGAGAACCCTCGATCATCTTTTAAACAAGAGACAAGATCCAGCTCTGAGAGAGACAAACGGTCTCCATTCTCGGTGGGTCACATTGAAATAAACTATTCTTTAGAATAGGGGTAGAAAATTACTTTTCCTAAACTCGTACATACTTAATCTTTAATGATATCGAACTATGCAGAGGAGCACAATGGTACGAGGTTGAGTCCGAAAGTAATGTAAGTTGCCCTCTAGCGATTAAGACTTGAGATTCAGTCATAAAAACAATACACGCAATTAATCTATAACATAATCTACTTTCGAACCGACCTCTAGAGTTTCAAGAGATGCCACTTTTTAATTATGTTATGACGTCATAAAGAAATTATGGTTTGCTGTCTGGAGAAAACAATGCGGAGTTGACAAAAGAAAATAATATCATTTTTAGCATCTTTACCCTCTGTAAAGGTGGCGAATCGCCAAAACCGATACACGAAAGCGCGCAGAAAGATAGTGAAGAAAATGTTAATTCAAATAACACAATCTATCTTTGGATAAGAACATTTAGTGGAGGGAGGGACACTGCTGTCATGACCCTTGTCCTGGCCGCCCAATTTCCTCGGTGAACGAGAAAACCGTTCGTGTCATCCGGCAACATAATTAATATTGCGCAAGACCTGCACACCTCTACACGAGAACTTAATAACTTGTCCAGACTTTCGCGTGGATAGGTCAAATATCATTCGTGAAAAACTACACGTGAAAAAAGTGTAGGTCTGTTCAATACTCAATTAACTACCTGAGGCTAAAAATAGAGAGAGAGGGTGAAATATGCCACAGTATTACTCAATATTTTTGAACCCCATAGACTCAATTGACTTACATACTTTGTCACAACGCACCTCAATACAAACACGAACACCCTTTTACGTTTCTTTGATCTCACACAAATTTGCAAAGCATGATTCTTAAAGGTCAATTTTGAGTGACCATATCTCAGGAGACTCTAATTGGAGATGAAATATTAATATGTCAGATGATGCAGAATTTATTTAACTTTAAACTGGTAATTAAATGAGTGGCTTGTGCAATTCTTGAACATGATGATTGGGTGAATACATTTTCAAGTCCTGTTTGACGCCACTGTATATAATAATAAACACACATATACCAATATCTCGCCAAAAGTTGTCAACACTGGGTCTGATACCTGAATTACGAGCTTACCCTAAAATAAAAGTATTGGACAAAAGCAAGAAGACAGAGGTGTACCTGATGCCATGTTCTGAGGTGAGCACCGAGTCGTTGACCAGTTTGAGGGCATCACCTGTGTTGGTGGAGCCCCCAGTGTAGCGAATCTTCCCTATGCGCTCTTTCAATTCGCTCTTCTCATCATATTCGTCAAGATGGAAATCTACGGTTGCGTTGGTGCTGTTGTAAGAGGGAAATTTGGGTTGGAGGGCATGGGAGGACAAGTTTAAGCAGAGCAGGATAATATATCAGGAGAATACTCCATGAAAGCACGCAGAATAAAGAAAAATAATTAACATTTTTATTCAGTTCTCTGTGCTTTGTCGACCGGCGTCTGTTATGCGCTCCCGCCGTCGCACGCAGCTGATTTTGAGTCCCGCGAAAGTAGAATATTTATCGAAAATCTTGGCCTTTCTTCAGGGAAATGATATCCCTTTTAACCCGGGTTGGCCCTGGCAGGCAAGGTCAAAACCTGTCTCCTAAATTTTAATGATCTAAATTTATGTTGACTTGGTGATTGGGTGAGGGTGGGGGGGGGGGAGTGGGGAGTAAAAACACCTATATTAGAAAAAGAGAGAAGAAGCTGCTGAGCTCAAGTTGTTGTCACCCTTACCATGCCAGGTCATGTTAACCTGTTCCTTTCGGAAAATAATAGTTACCGTATGTAGGCTTAGTTTTGTTTTATACTTTTGCTGTTACTTCTTTACAAACACTTATTGCACTTATACTACCGCAATCCTCGTGTAGGTCGGAGTCGCTATTCACCATCCAATTATCCTGTCTTGCAAAAACAGTATCTGGACATGGATGCCTGGTGTCTCTATAAATAATGTATTATTGATTGTCAGTCACACGATTAACCATCTTGGCCACCACAACAACGACCGAGCAACATCACCAGGGTCATCACCAAAATCGCCACAACCGTAACCTTTCCTTTTAGTACTGGTGAAATAGATTGCTGAGTTGGCTCTTGTTCAGCTCCTGCCTGTTTCTAACTTCAGGGCGTACATGTGTACGTCGTAAGGATAATAATAATAACAGTTCGTTCTTCATGAACTGATAATGACCTTTATCACCCAAGGAGGAAATGAAGCTATAGACCTCGCTGAATATTGCAGATAACTCGTTTGGTAAACCGTGTAGTCAGCTCGGTCAAGGGAGAAAAAGTAAAGGAAATTGTAATACACAAGGTCAAGAGAGAAATAACATTGGAAACTGTAGCACACGGCTTGTGATGATCACAACTTCCACTACTCACCGCAGGTAGCAGCGCCTTTCCCTAGGGCGGTGTGATTATCCGCCTAAACATATGGTTAGTTGGTAAAACCTTCTTATGGTTTTGCGTATGACTTTCAAGAGCTATTCTATTTTAGAACAATTTTCCCCAAATAGAACAGTTGCAGTTTAACTCATTCGCTACGCCTAGCCGTGGGGGCGGCTCGAGAACCGATTTTCAGTTTTAGCTTAGATTCTCTTCCAATCCACATATCCAGGTTAAAATAAAGGTCATAATATAATGTTGACTTCCGGGTCAAGCATTTCCACTGAACATCGGAAATTTAGGTTTGGTTTTGAAACGCGATTTCGCAGTTTATTCGACTTTGTTTTATCTCGATGCCAAAATTATAGCCCGGACACCAGTCTTAGTAATTTTACACAACAAAATCCATCATTAGTTTGCCCACTTAAGAAATGTAGGACTCTTTTTTTTTATAATATTGATACGATTGGACTCATATTGTCAATGCACTGTTATTGAGAAATCAATATTTTTAAGTGCTAGATCTAGATCTAGGTCTAGATCTAGATCTAAATTGTCAAAATATTTTTTCTCTCCCCAAAATCACTACTTTTTGATGAAATTAAACAAAAATTGCCACTCAAGACATGTATAGGTTTATTCCAAATGCAATCTGAATAATACCATATAAGATACGAGTGGTTTTTTTTTTCTACTTGTGATCGTTTTTCAAGATTATAGTTTTTTATTTTTTTTTCAGTATCGAATGTTATGATCCAAATGTAGAAATATTATGGAATGTATGTAAATAACAGCAAACTTTTCAATATTTTCCAGTTCTATATTCATTTACAGTTATTTTGATGTATCATTTGACTAGGTGCAAAGATATTTTTGGAGTTTCACCAAAGACGATTCATTTTCTATTTTCAAATTTTATCCGCATCCAATCAAAATTGCGTTGCACAATCGCCTCTTACGGGACCCAAAGTTGAAAAATATATAAATAAACAATACATATGTATTCTACAAATCATACAGAAAATATTGGTAAATAATACGTTGATATTTATTTGAATTTGTGGCCCCAAAGACCTTTTAACTGCTTACTAGTCATCATTTCATTTCGCCCTCCTGAAAAAAATTCGTCCCCAAGCCGAAAATAATACGTAGCAAATGAGCTAATGGACCATTGTCAAGTCAGAATTTGATTGTCTTGATTTTTTTGTGCTTCCCCCGCTGTCCCATTTTAACAAACTCTGCTTTTCTCCGAAACCTTGCTGCTACGAAAAAATCACGGCTTTATGCTACTGTGATCAGTAAGGATAGAAGGTTTTTCACTCATCCAAAAAAGCCGCACTCATAGTAAAAGTAATAATGACGGGTGGTAGATAGCATTGTTATAGCAACAGACTCTGCTTAAAGGTACATCCCTGCCTGCCCGGCAGAATGTGGGATAGAATAAAATGATGGTGCCGCTGGGATACCTGAAGGAGACGACGGCGACTCTGGTCTTGTCTTTGCCAATGTTAAACAAGTTGATGAGGTTTGATACAAAGGCCAGTTGTTTCAGGAAGTCAGGAATGAAGATACTGCTGGACTCGTCCAACACAAACACCACTTCCGCTGGCCTCAGTTGGCACTCTGGGGGTTGGAATATAAAGAACATGTCAGTGGGCTAGAGAGAGGGAGGGCATGGGGCCGAGAAAGGGTAGGGGGGGGGGAGGAGGCCGCTTTGCTCAGAGAAAAATGTTTATGTTTAATGGATTAAGATGGCAATGGGGCAAGATGATAATGACAATGATG